GCCCGGGGCTTGGCTGTTTCTCTTTATTCGGTTCCCTTCTTTTCCAACATTATTGGAATAAAAGGCGCCGACTCCAGTGCCGGTGCCGGTGGGTGACTGTTCCCCTGAGGACCGACCGAGGAGCGCTTTTGTTATTATAATTTATAAAGGGATTGTCGGAACTAGCAAAGGGCTGAGCTTCTGACAGCAGCCTAGCCCCGCGGCGATGAGGGCGCCCTGGGTTCCCAGCTTCCCAGCCGCAGCTGGCGGTCTCCCCTGCATTCCAGTTTCCTAGGAAAACCCTGCAGCCCCGTCTTCCTGGTTTCCAGCCCCAAGGAACTAGGAGGGGGTTGACCCCCATCACCCGTGCTGCCCAGGCCCAGGCCCCCAGGGTGTGCAATGGGTGTGTCCAGGGAAGGGTGGCAGGATTCTCAGACCACTTTGCTGTGCTCTGGCCCTCAGCCAGCGGTCAGCACGACCTTGCTCTTCTGGGTGGCAGTGGGAGTCTCCCAGAGTAAGTTACACAGGCCCCCTCTGGTCAGACACTTTCGTTTGCCTGGGACATCTCCCTGGAGGCCAAAGTGTGCCCCCTGGTCTCTAGCTGGACCACAGCCAGCGATGCTGATTACTCTTTTCTTTTAGAACTGAAAAGAGCACCGTTCTTCCTGGCACGTGAGGAAGGAGAGTTTATGTCTGTATGGGATGGTCACTTGCGCAGCGGAGGCCAGGGAGTGGGGGAGAGTGGACCCCCAGCAGTGAGTGAGCGCAGCGGGCTGCCTGTCCCCAGACGCTCGAGGTCAGGATGGGCCCCACAGGCAAACAGAGTCCCTCGTCCCTGCCGGTCCCCACGGGAGGGTCTTGCCTCCTCCTCCTCTTCTGCCTGCGGTTGGGGACCTCTTGCCCACAGAGCTGCCAGTGCCCTGACCACGCTGGGGCCGTGGCCGTCCACTGCAGCGCGAGGGGCCTGCAGGAGATCCCCAAGGACATCCCTGCCGACACTGTGCTCCTGAAGCTCGACGCCAACAGGATCGCCCGCGTCCCCAACGGAGCCTTCCAGCACCTGAACCAGCTGAGAGAGCTGGACTTGTCCCAGAACGCCATCGAGAGCATTGGCCCCGCCGCTTTCTCTGGCCTGGCCGGGGGCCTGCGGCTGCTGGACCTGTCTCACAATCGCATCCGGAGGATTCCGAAGGATGCTCTGGGCAAGCTCAGTGCCAAGATCCGCCTGTCGCACAACCCGCTGCACTGCGAGTGTGCCCTGCAGGAGGCCCTGTGGGAGCTGAAGCTGGACCCCGACTCCGTGGATGAGATCTCCTGCCACACCTCGGTGCAGGAGGAGTACGTGGGGAAGCCACTGATCCAGGCCCTTGACTCCGGCGTCAGCTTCTGCAGCATCCACCACAAGACCACCGACGTGGCCATGCTGGTCACCATGTTCGGCTGGTTTGCCATGGTGATCGCCTACGTCGTGTACTATGTGCGCCAGAACCAGGAGGACGCCAGGAGGCACCTGGAGTACCTGAAGTCCCTGCCCAGCACCCCTGTGTCCAAGGACCCCATCAGCCCTGCGCCTTAATGCCCACTGGCTCGAGCAGCCCGAAGCCCATGTGTCTCCCATCACTTTTGTAGCAGATGGTGACTGACTCTTGCCTTTGATGTTCCCTTGGTGAGGTGGTGACACGGTTGCTTCTGTCCAGTACTTCCTGATTACACAGCACTTTCCCTTAGGGCAGCGAGTGGCTGTAGCAGCCTTCAGGCCAGGTCATTTTACCGTCAGCCCCGGGGCGGAGAGATGGAGTATTGCAGCCGGAGACGACCCGCTGCGATGTAAAGCCGGGCAGTCTGTCACCATGTTCAGTGTCCCTTCCACTCTGGTAGCCTGTCCCCGGGGCACCCAAGCATTCAGACAAGAGTGAGTGTGTGCCCTTGATTGAGGCTCCCTGAGGACAGTGGGTGCCTTCTGTCATTTGAAGGCACAGGTGATCCTGTATGTGGAACTGACTTGCCTCTGCGTCCCCAGTGTTTCCTGAACACGTTTGACCACAGCACTCTGTGCAGAGCGAAGCGGTAGAGACCAAGGGTTTTTGGAGAGGTGAGTGGAGTGTCTAACCTTTGAACGACTCTTTGGTTTATTCTCAGAATGTTTGTTAAGAGTAACACTTGCACCAAAATTTCAGTCCAGGAAGAAGGAAAAAAACAACCCAAACCAAAAAGCAAAGTGTCAAACAAACCCCCCCCCAAAAAAACATGGAGAGGAACCTGAGAAGGGTCCACGGTGGCTCGTCAAGGGGGCAGAGTCAAGACAAGCAGGGTCCTGCCTGGCCCCTGTCCTCCGCCCGCGCCCGCTCGGGGCAGGGGTGCCGTCATCTGGGGTCGCTACGTGCCTTGCTCTTCTGCCCGCTAAAGCCGCTCCTTCCCAGAGGACGGGAGGGCTGACTGATGTTTCAAGGCCAATCAGTAGGATGACTCCTTTTCGCCAGCAGCAGGAACTCTCTCTCTCCCTCTCCTTTCCAGCTTTGCTGCCAGGAATCTCAGAGCAACTTTAATGCTCAATTTTCTTACCTACTTCAAGTTCAGGGTAGACCTTACCTCCACCTAAGTAACCCTGACTTGTCCTTCCAATTTTATTTTTTACTGGTTTTTTTTTGTATGAGTGTTTATATTTTAAACTAATTCAAATACTTTGGGGGGAAGCGAGAAGGGGTACATCACCTAGGGATCTGAGGGATAAAGGACAGAAGCCTTTCTCAGCAGACTCTTGGAAAGGATGAAGACTGAGGGAGGTTTGCACTGGAAGGTGTCATGTGGCTTGCAGCAGGAAACATATCTCGGCACACACAGCCGAGACCCAAGAGGCACATCTGAACAAGGTCATGATTTTTCAGTTGTGAGGCGTTAAAAAGAAACAACCAAGAGATGCCAATACTCCCCCACACCCAGGCGCCTCTCTCCTGCTCTCACGGGGGTCTGTGCACAGCCACACGGTGCGAACGGGAGCGTGGGTGGGCGCTTCTCTGCCCACCGTCCCGACCAGGGGTGCGGCATGGGAGGCAGGGCTCAGGTGATGCTCCGGATGACGCCAGTCCTCACGGAAACGGGCGGCCCGCCCATCTTTCCAGTGAGAGCTAAGACCAAGCAAGTGGACCTGGGCGTCAGTCCACTTGTGGGACAGATGCCACGTGGAGCAGATAAGTGTGGCTGCTGGCTGACCAGGGGAGGCAGGCTCCGTGGGGGAATTAGGTCTCCCCTCCCCACCCATCCCGGGGTACACACAGGAGGGAAAGGGGCCCTGTCACACCAGGAGCTTGTCGCCTGGTGAGCTCGCCTGGTGGTCGTGACCCTGGGTCAGGGGAAGAGAGGCTGAGACCTGGCTGGAGGTGGGGGCGAGTGTCGGGGTCCTGCTGCTGCGGCTCACGTCCTGTGGGTGCGGGCCGGCCTGGGCACCTCGGGGCCTTTCTCTGCTGTTGGGAGCTCTTCACTTGCTCTTAAGCAGAATCAGCCCAGGGCCTGGATGCCGCCCAGAAGCTCTTCTGGGGGCACACAGGGAGTGGGTGGGCCCCTCCCCTCCCCTCCCCTCCCCTCCCTTCTGCTGGCCCCCAGCCCCCAACCCACCTTCCCCTTGGTGTGGACCTGCCAGCATCCTGTTCCACCCTGTGGGGACGGGGATGTGGGCCCAGGACCTCGGAGCACACCAGAAGGGCCCCTCTCTGCCGAAGTCCAGAGTCAGGGGCTGTCCCTCCCTCCTGGCCTCTCTGGGCTCCTCACCCCCCGTGGAGTCTCCCAAGAGAGGATACCTACCTCCAAAGACCACCAGGACGCCAACTGCAGGACCTGGAAGCCCCTTCCTGCTCATGGGAGCCCCCACCCCTGGTGCCTGGGAGCCCTTGGCTCTCCTGGGGTGCAGCCCTCCCCTCCCCACCTCCCCTCCCTTCCGCTTCTCAGATTTCCCCTTCCCTCCCCTAAGGGGCTCCTAAAGATGATGTCCTGTCTGCGCCCACCCTGTTCCTTGCAGCTATGTGTGTGCGGACACCCAGACCCCCACAGGCCTCATGCTGACTCCCCACCCCAACCCCAGCACCCATGGGCCCGGTGTGAGCGGGCATTTGACCCCATCTTCTAGTTTTGCAGAGGCCAGGGTCAAGCCGGCCCCATGAATGGGCCCTGTGTTGACAGGGGTGGGGACAGGGCAAAGGGGGTGCCTCAACTGTCCCATCTCTGTTGGGAGGCAGTGGGATGGCAGCCTTTGTGGGAAACAGGTGACCCCTGGCTCTCGTTACATTCCAGGTAAGAGACCTCAAAGAGCTTCATGCACATGGCCTTGCTTACCCCTACCTGCAAAGCCCCTCTTGCCTTGGGAGGTAGCACTTCACAGGGTCCGGGTGGGATGACTTTGGGGTTCCTCCTGCAGCAGAGGTGTGGCGGGAGCAGACTGGCCCAAGAACCACCCCACCTGAGCCTCTTTTCCTTCCCGTGGGAGTTGGGGGGGGCCTCAGGGCCAGAGTGGGGGGAGGGGAGAGGCAGTGAGGGGGTCATGGGGCACCTTGGGGCCCCTTGGGAGCCGGTCCCCCGACCAGGCCACTCGGGTTTGAGATGAGACTTCCTTCTCTCTTGGTCCCTGGCCTCGCCACGGATGGTCCGCTTGGAAACTGGAGCCTCACCGTTGACCTGACCCTGGGAAGGGATGCCCCACATTCACAGCCTCCTGACACCCCTGCCTCCCTTCCTCTTTGGACATCGGGGCCCTGAGTGGCCCACCCGGCCATGCCCTTGGGTGGTCTAACAGTAGGGGCGAGCAGGTGTACTGCCGAGCCCCAGCAGGGCCGGCCTGACGCGCGGGAGCTGTCCCTGGTGGGGTGGACTCCCTGCACAGAGGAGGCTCCCAGCTCTGCTCCAGAAATGCTCCCAGGCCCCCAGGAGGCTGGCGGCAGGCTGTAGACACACCTCGAGGCTGGGGCTGGGAGGGAGGCGCTGGCACCCTCAGATGTGTGAACTGGCTCCTCTCCTGGAAGGGCCTGGATGCGGGAACCAGGGACCACCCACACCGCAGGGCCCCAATTCCCCCCGTCCACCTGTGGGGCGGGTGACGAGTTTTAGCTGTGAGACTAGGGTTAAATGGATGTGCTCTGTTCCTAATGGAAAGTTGCTCCAGGTACATGGGGCAGGGTGCACAGGAAAGCAGGGGCCGGTCAGGTTTAGCTCCTCAGCTGGTCGTGTTCACACAGACATCCAAGGAACGTGTGCACTCAGACGCCCCCTCAGCCAGGGGTTCCCGCGGGGCCGGCTGCCTTGGACGGCTCCTCCCGAGGGTCAGCAGAGTCCCAGGGCCTCAGCAAAGCCAGGGCGGGAACGCACAGGCTACCTTCCTGGGAGCTAAAGGCAGCCGAGGTGGCCCGGGGCCTGGGCATTGCCGGGGCCCCGCGGGCCCCTTCCTGTGCGTTGCTCCCAGGCTCCTTTGCAGCGGGTCCCTTGGATGTGTTTGCATGAGGCTTGGGTCCTGGACTGAGTGACCCGGGAAGGAGGCCCTGCAGACTGCGGTCCAGGTGGAACATTCTGGACCTGCAGCCGCTCCCAGCCTTGGCGGGAGCTGGGGGCGGTTTCGGGGGTCGTCTTTCCTGCAAGCTTGGCCCCAAACCCAGTTCTCCTGTCCTCCCTCCTGCCTGTGAACCCTCAATAAACCTCTCTGTGTTTAAAGTCTGTTGTCTGTGGCCCTGCAGCCCCCACCTCCCCCCAGACCCGCCCTCACGGCAGACCTTGGGAGAGCCGGGCTGGGGACGGTGCCGTGAGTGCTGGGCCGGCTTGGACTGGCTCGGGCCGGCTTGGACTGGCTCGAGCCGGCTTGTGATGGCCGATTGTGAACTTTTTAGGACTTTCGTGAGCCCGCTGACATCATGCTGGCTTGAGGGCTTTTACTTCAAGGCAGCCACAGTCAGGACCCCCTCTCCTGCCCCGAGGAGGTTGCTCGCACGCTGCTGGGGTCCCCTGGGGACCCGCCTGCCCCCAGTGAGCCGATTCTGCATTCACAGCACCTCCCCTCGACAGGCAAGTTCGGGCAGAAGAGTGGTCCCCCAGGAAGTCCGAGTCCTAGTCCCAGGAGCCTGTGAGGATGGGGGAGGGCCGCAGGCCAGGGTGCGGGCGCCTCTAGGAGCTGGACGAGGCCGGGTATGGGGTCTCCCCTTGAGCCTCTGGGGGGGAAAGCCGCCCACACCTTGGCTTTATCCCAGTGAGACCCATTTTGTACTTCTGGCCTCAGAATCCTAAGAAAATAAATTCATATTGTTCAGGCCACTACGTGTGTGGTCCTCTGTGAAAGCAGCCTCAGGGACTGACGCAGCCTCCACACAGAGCAGCTGGCGTGGTCGGAGCAGATGGCCACCCGGGCTCCATGGCCACCTTGCTCGTCCTCACCGAGTCCTGATTCCTGGGCTCAGTGTCTGTTTAACATTGTGGCCGAGTGACCACAGGGCTCACTTCTCCTGTTGGCCTCACCCCCTCTCCTGCGAGACAGGAGCTCCCCCCGGACCAGGGCCCAGGGAGTGCGCCGGTGGGGGCGCAGCGGCGCTGAAGCTTCCACCCTGCTGGCCCCCATGGTCCTCGCACACACCACACACTCACGCTCCACTACACACGTCCACTGTGTGAACACAGACACAGTCCTACACACACACCTGTACACACACTCATGCACACGTTCACACGTGCACACCAGGCACAAACACTCACGTTCACTGTGCATACACATCAGGCGAGCCCACTCACATGTTTAGTTGTACAGATTCACACTCGTGTTCACACAGGGCCATACACCACACACTGACACACGTCCCCACTGGCAGGTGCACACATGCACACACACACACACACACACACACACACCCTCATCTCTCCCTGTCCAGGGAAGGTCTGGAGCCCCTCTCAGCCTCACCCACCACAGGCTGCAGAGAGGGAAGTCCTTGCCGGCCCCTGACCCGGGGCCTCGGAGGGCCCCATGCGTGCCAGGCTGGGTGTGGGGCCAGAATCGGAGGCAAGGACCGTGCACTGGGAGAGAAGTCTCTTCAGGGGGCGGCAGCTTTGGCCCCGGCTTGGGGGAAGGGCAGCTGGGTGAGCCAGTGAGGGCGGGCTGTGCGTGGGAGGCCCCGGTGGAGGACGAGCTGACGTGCTGACATGAGGAGACTCGGGGATCAGCGAAGCCCGAGCTGAACAGCCTCTTTGGAACCAGGCGTGAAATCAGCGCTCAGGCCTCCAGGACAGGCCCAGGGCCACCAGCCGGCCGGGAAGGGGCAGAAGGCACGAGGACAGGGTCTGCCCGCAGCTGACTCTCACAGCGGCCTAGTACGCCTGGGAGGATTTCTATTTTCAGATGAGAAACCTGAGAATCTGAGACCCAAGGGGAGAAATGACGGGGACCCGGGAGTCAGCTTGCTGGGGGCAGCGCAGAGCTGGAATCCCTGCCTTCTGACGCCCAGGCCTGGAAGTTCTCACTCAGGACACGCGGGCCCTGGAGTGCTGTCAAAACAAAGAGGCAAGTCCTGGGTTTAGCACCACGTTGAAGGACAGCCAGTGGGAGAGGCAGAGCAGAGCCTGGGCTCCCCAGTCCCATGCCTGCGTGCAGCCGTGCTGGCCGGGGGCAGGGATGCCCTCGCTGGGAATGGGGTGCGCCGGGGGTCTGCCTCTGTAACCATGGCAACCGGCTAGAAGGAGGGTGGGTGCAGTGTTGGCTGCCAGGCTGGGCCTTCAGAGGCAACTGCACACCTGCCTGGTGTTCCTTGCAAGGTGAGGTGAAGAGTCAGCGCCCCAGAGCGACCAGCACACTGGCCGACCTTCCTCCTGAGCCCAGCTGCTCTTGGAGAAGAGGGGCATTTGAGGGGCTGCAGAGGCAGTGGAGGGAGAAGCAGCCTGGAAACAGTTGGAGAGTGGCTGCTTGGCCAGGACACCCATCCCAGAGCCCGTGTTGGCAGCCAGCCCTCACTATGGACAGGGAGGCTGAGGCACCGAGTGGTAGTGGACTTGCCCAAGGGCACGTGAGCTGGTGAGGGGTCAGCTGGAGTGTGACCAGGATGCCGGGCAGCAGTGACCGGCAGAGAGATGTCCCGCAGCCTCCATGAAGCCTCTGCAGGCGGGTAGTTAAGATGCCAAGAACACCCCGAAAGAGGAAGAGCATGTTGGTGTAACGATATGGTGACCACGTTCACCCGATTGGTAGCTGTGGCAAGCGTAGCTCTCAGAGCGGAGTCAGGACACCGAGTTGCCACCTATGGAAAGTCCCTTATTATTTCAAGTCACATCTGACTCCCAGTGCCCGGCCAGCCAGGGCAGGGACCCCCGTGAAAATGCTTGCCGTGGCTCTGCCTGCATCCCCTTCATGCCTGCCCAACCACACGCACACTCAGACTTCTGGAAGAGTAGTGATGGGGCCTGGAGACGTCTCTGGGCAGCGGTCACCTCTGTGCTGGAATTCCCTGAGGGGCCCGTTGTCTGAGACCGTGTTCGGGGTGGGCACCTAGGCCCCCTGGCAGAGCTCTGAGCCACTGCCCCTGCCAGGCCCCACCCTCATGGATGAGCTGGAGGTGGCCCCCTGGGGTGGGCACACGCAGTCCTGCTCCCCAGAGCCCTTGGCAACCCCCTGTCTTGGCTCATCTGGCAGCCTCCCTGAGCACACTTCTGGGAACCAGCCAGGGCAGACCTTGCCTGGCTGGACTCCAGGACTGGGATCTGCTGAGTCTCTGCGGGTGGTCATCACCCGGGGTTAGTGGCCTTGGCCAGAAGGTGGCCCTGCATGTGGTCAGTTCCCCAGTTCCCTGCCAGGCTCCCCTGGGCTTAGCAATCTCACAGGGGTCACTGGATCAAGGACTCAGAATGGACACCAAGCCTCCCGTCCTCGCCCCGGGCTGAGAAGTCGCCTTGGAATCAGAGCCCGCCCGTCTGGTGTCGCAGTAGTCAGAACACCAAGACTGAGGCTTTCCGAGCCGGCAGCTTGCAAACAGGAGAGCCGCTTGGCGCAGTTTTGAGCTGTTTAGCAGCCCCAGGAGCAGGAGCTGGTCAGGCCCTGGGCACCGTGGCTGGCCTGGGGACGCCTGTTGTCGTGGCATTTGCTCGATGACCTATGGGCATAGCTGGCCGACTTAAGTCTGTTTTCCACCGTTCAGACTTCCTCTGCCGTGAATATTCGCTTGTGTCCCGTGCGGGGCGCCGTGTTTGCGTCTGTGAGGCTCCTCAGACTCGAGTACTGACTTCTGAGTGAAGCCGGCCCCAGTCTGTAGTCCTTTCTGCCGTTTGCCCTGGCATCTCAAGTCTACTTGTTTGTATTTTTAAAAGATACAAAGTTACATGTTTAACAAATATATCAACTGCACGTAACACTGTAACTTTCTGTCTCGCCTTCCCTTTTCATTTACTTCATTCCCTTCCTTCGTTTTTCCCTTTAGAAACTCTCCCTCCAAGTAGAAAAAGAAATTCTATTCCAGACCTTCTATTTACAACATCTGTAACTTTAATTTTTCCAAATTATGCCATGCCAGGTTGAACTGCTTAATTTTAGTATAATTAATCCCTGGAGTCCAACCTTTCCCTCATTTTTTCAAAATGTTTTTGCCTATTATTTCTTTGAGATGCTCTTATGGGTCCCTGCATTAACTAAAAAGGGCAGCATTGGGGTTTTGACCGGCACTGCGTGAAACTGCAGAGCAACTGGGGAAATCTTGATGATGTTAGGTTATCAGTTTGAATATCTGTCCAAGTCTTCACCTGTCTCTTGCAGCTGGATTTCTGTGGTCTCCTTAGCGTCTGTCTGCAGGGAGTTCAGGCGGCTGTAACCAGGTACTGCTGTGTCTGGGGGAGACTGTGCATCCCTGTGAACGTTATCATGATGTCAGGTGAAAAGCTCAAGGGACGTGACTGAATGCAGCTCTGTCCTCTTCCCTCACCCCCACCCCTGCCCCAGGAAAGTTCCCGACTGGCCGTGAGCTCTTGGGGAACAGGAGGGGTTCCAGGACACCAGGCAGGAGGGGGTCTCGGCTCTTCCAGGGGGTACAAGTCATGAGGGGTCGGAACCCCGGGAGCAGCTGGCAGCCCCCGAAGAACCCTGTCCCAGGCCCCGAACCTGTGAGTACGTTACGCTGCACAGGCGGGGGCCTCAGGCTTGCTGGCTCGTTGACCCCGGGAGACGGATGGCATCCTGGATCGTCCATGTGGGCCTCATGCGGCCTTCAGGGTTGTTACTGGCAGAAGGCGGGGCAGAGAGAGACAGAGGAGATGGCGTGATAAGGATGCCACTGCCCGCGGCCAGCGGCCAAGGTGCAGGAGGGGCTGTGAGCCAAGCACGTGGGCCCGCCTCGAAGCTGGAAAAGGCAGGAGACACGGAGCCTCAGAAGGAATCAACCCTGCCCACACCTTGGTTATGTCCAGTGAGACCTGGAAGTGACCTCTGGCCTCCAGGACGGGGAGACAACATTGTTCCGTTATTTTAAGTGCGTGATATGTGTCACAGCAATGTGGGAAATGAAGGCACGGACCACCCGCTGCTTCACGGGCATGCAGGTGGCGCCAGTCTGCTGTCCTCTCGACACAGGACGAGTAGGGTGGGCTCTGATCCTTACACATGTTTAGTGGTCAACTGAACCCACAAAGTTCTCATACTGTTTCTAGCAGGTTCCATCAGGCAGAGACTGCAGGGCATCACTGTCTGTCTCCTTTCT